TCCGACTATCCCAAAATGCCTAATTATCATATAGAAAAAAACCTGGGGGTAGTTTTTACTCCAGGTAACTATGCCAAAGGTCATGTTCCAAATAAGGTCAGGCATCTGTGCTTGGCGGCACTTTCCAGGTAAGTCAGGCAGAGAGCAGGAGGCCCCTGCAGAAAAGGGGAGTCCTTCCATACAGTGCCGAGCCCCTTAGAGCTATTCGGACATGGAGGACTACAACCCTAGCAGCAGGGTTCCCCAACACTTTTCTGAACTCTGTGGGCATTGCACGATATGAGTGCACTTACATGCATGCAGACAATACATTCATATGCATAAAAATAAAAATAAATAAATAGACAATTAAAAAAAAGAATGCATAGGAAGAAGAGGGAAGGGCTGAGATGGTGCCTAGGTTTCTAATTAGACACCTAGGTTAAGTCCATCTGGCTCTGTGAAGCCAGGGACTCTCCACTTTGCTCTGTGATGTATCTGCAGTGCCTGGCACTGAGTGAGGCGTGTAGAACATGAGCAAACACATGGGCATTCACTAGAGAATGAGCATATTTGCACATTGGTGGGACTGAAGTCCTGTAGAGAGTTCTAAGCTGGAAGTAGTGGCATACACTTGCAAACCTAACACTTGGGAGGCTGAGGCAGGAAATAGTCCTGTGTCCTCCAATCTTGCTGAGCCCCAATCATGGCATCTATAAAAGAACAATGGTTACATCCCCAAAGCCACAAGTAATAGTTTAGATTTTTCTTTATCTTCACAGGCTTAAAATAATATAAAAAATTAAGCTGGATGTGGTGGCACACGCCTTTAATTCCAGCCACTTGGGAGGCAGAAGCAGGTGAATCTTTGTGAGTTCAAGGCCAGCCTGGTCTACATAGCAAGTTCCAGGCCAGCTGGGGCTACAGGAAGACCCTGTCTCAAAAAGACCCCCCCCAAAAAAAAATTAATAAGGAATGCCTTATCATAGTATTAGTTAGCCTATTCTTCACAAAGGTTCTCCTTTTAAGTAAGAGATGCTGAAAAATGTTTGGTTCAGTGAATTAATCCTCTTAGTTCCTGGGTCTTGTTTTGTCCTAGCTGGCCATTGAAACTGGATCCCAGGACAAGGAGGATTCCAGCTCCCCGGTACTACCTGTCCAGCAAAGCCAGAGTCAGCAGCAGTTTACTGAGGTGCACCTGGCTGATCTACAGAAAGTGTTTGAGAAGGAAACCAGTGAGACTGGAGGTACAGCCATGCGGTAGCAGCCTACCTCCTGTGACACCTGCACAGGACCTGTTATCTGGGGAGTGTGGAGGGCTCAGGCCTGGTAGGCTTTTTGTATTTGGTGTCTTGTTTAAAACTTTTACTTGCTGGATAAGTGGTGTAAGCATAGTAAAGGCTATTCGGGATCTAGAAACAATTTTAAAATCCTGCTAGTGCAAATACCCAGGTATAGCCTGTGGCATTTTGGTGTGGTTTCCTCTAAGAATTTTCAGTTGTGTCATTTGTTAAAAATTGCTGTATAATAGCAGCCCCATGGATTTAGTGTCATAAACCCAACATGCACTGATGATCTCAGTGTGTTGGGGCTCTGGTGTGAGGACAGGTCTGAGCTGGTTCTCCTGCTCAGAATCCCACAAAGTTGCAGTTCCATTGTCAGCTGGAGCTGTGGTGTCATCTGGGGCTTGGCTCAGGAAGGACTTACTTCAAGCTCACACAGGATTCAATTCCTTGCAGCTGTGATCTTGAGGACTTCCATTTCTTTCTAGCGATTGCAAGGAGGCTGTTCTCAGCTCCCAGAAGCCACCCAAATTCACCACTGTGGCCACTGGCAAGGCTCAAGCCAATGGAGAGAGCAGCTCACATAGGTGTCACAATCTTATAACACAGTGAAGTGACTGTGTCATAACACTATTGTATGCAATAGTGTTATGCTCTGTTGGCCAAAAGCAAGTCACAAGTCACACTGGGGAGCAGGAGTGGACCACAGCAGGCCATAAACACTAACATGAACACATCCTGGGTGCCCCTTAAGTGTCTGTCTCTGATCACACTGTTTAGACACTTTGCTTATGATGGGGTATGTTCCCCAAACCAATTTTAAGTAGAAAATACCTGTCAAAAAACAAATAAAAAATCATTCCACACATTTAACCTCACAAACACTGTAGCCCCCCTAAACTGATTATGGTCAGAACACTTAGAGCAGGCTTAGGTTGGGTCAAATCATTGAACACAGTGCACATTTCAATAAAATGTGAGATAGCTCATGAAAGCAAGAAACAGTGATTAAATAAATGTAAGTGCACCTGTGTCGTGAAACGTCCTCAGAGGGCAGAAGAGGCCATCGGAACCCAGGAACTGGAGTTATGGACAGTTGTTAGCTGCCATGTGGGTGCTGGAATTTGAACCCAGGTCTTTTGTAAGAATAGCTAGTGTGCCTAACAGGAGGTAATTCTTTTTTTTTTTTTTCTTTTTTCTTTTTGAGACAGAGTCTCCCTGTAGTTCCAGCTGGTGTAGAACTTACTCTGTCGACCAAACTCG